GACATTCAAAGACGTCACCAGGTCACGAGTCTTTTTTTGTAAGGAATATCCAATACATTTCATTCATCTTCAAGTAATAACTGAAGTTCCATATTTAAGTATCAATTTTTCATACACAGGATCTGATAAAATGACAACCCAAAGGGGAACCCAGTAGGGGACTTGTATTGCTAATGCAATACTCTCAGAATCTCTTCTATCCTTCCTTGAATTCTGCATGTGTGTGCTCTTTCCCTAAGTATCCTGCAATTAATCGGATGAAATACATGGGGTTGTATAGAATTTTATTGACGAATAAAACGATATTGTACTCACTTTACATATAAAATCAGCATTTCTGTAGAGGCAACGTGTGCTATTGGAGTTTTATGAAGACACTTACTTTAACAATCGACGACTGACTTTTACAATTTATACATAGACCAACTCCATTACTTATAATGTAAAAGTCAGCTGTCGAATGTAAAAGAAAGTCTCTTCATGAAACTTCATTATTTCCAGTTCTTTCCAACCTTATTCTTCCATAAACGCAAGAACAAGGCAAAAAAAAAATTAAAAAAATTTTTAAAAAAATGCGGAAAACAAGTACAGATGATGTACTTTTTGATTTGTTTATGAGACCGAATAGTTCTATATATAAATCCACTGACAATAGTTTTACTCTGATTGATACGAAGAAACAAAAATAAGATTATTTCAATTAAAAATTGCCATTTATTTACATTATAAATGACTATATGAAAAACACAAAATGTCATGCATATAAACATATAATGCAGAATTAGAAAAATTGAACAATTGAGAGATATAATAATATTTTGTTTCAATAGATAGATATCAAAGGTTGGGTACAAATACAATAAATATTGCATGCAGTTGAGCGTCAAATTGAAAATTTTCACCCCCAAAAAACCAGTGTCAACCTATACATTGACAGAAAGGCTGCGCTCGGGATGTTTTTCTTGGGGGGGGGGACATTTGCAATGTTACAACCAACAGCATGCAGTATTTATTTAATGTCAGAGAAACTGCCAAATTTTTAAATTTATGGTTTTCACTAAAACAAAAATATTTTTATCAGACAAATAAACGTCGATCATGCCTGCTATCTTTAAATGATTATGAAATAATATACATTGTTAAAGTGACATGAAAGTCCATTGGGCCGAGTGAAATGTATATACGTACTTTTTTATTGTATTTATTAGTCGTGGAAAAGTATACACATGTCTTTATGATGCATTTTTTACGTATTTACCTATTAGTGTCTTTTGGAATCCCTAAAGATGAGTAGCTTAGGATTTCTTGTCACGGGTTCAAAAACGAAAGGAGTGTGTGAAGGGTAACATGGGATACTAATAGAATCATACTATGAGGGATTACAGTAAATATTTTATATGTATATTTTTTAATCAAAAGACCTTAAGCACATTTATTGAACTTTTTTTATATAATATATCGTATGTGTATCTATCATATAGCTTATATATGATCTATAAAAAAAACAACTACATAAAATCTAGAGAATTTTAGAGTTTCATATTCCTGTTTGTATTACGTATTTCTTTTTTTATTTATGCAAATGTTTTACACAAGTAAAAGTGAATGGGATTTGGCAGAAGGTAAATCCCATTAAAGCCCTCTCACTTATGCTAGTGTATTACATGTATGTAATGTCTTTCGAATACTCAATTATTACGTATATGTGTATGCCCGAAACATTCCCAAAACGAGGTAATATTAAACGCCCCATTTTAAACCCAAAAAATATTTGTCTGTTCAACTCCTCTTAAGTACATATATGATAGGTTGTAGCAGCAAAGGTTTATTTTTTTTTTACACAAATTGAAAGTAAAAAAAAAACCTCTATAACAAAACATTGCGCTACCTAGTGTAATTAGAGTTGTGCTATGTTGAACGCATACAGGACAGAGATAAATGAAGACATCAATAATAAAAAGTTCCTCTTAATTTGAGTTATTGAATTAAAATAATTAATATTAATCATTGGGATATTTTTCAGACATATAAAAGAGAAGTATTTTAATAAATATTAGTAATTATTGCCACTCTTTGACTTGCTTTTTAAAATAGTTCAAAATACAAAAAATGTGTCATTAAATCGAATGAAAAAAAAAAACATTGTGAACCAGTCCTTATAAGCGTATCCTCGTGTCTTTAAAAATATTAATCATTAAAGCCCCAGTTATTTAAGACCTTACTGCAGATAGAAATTTTTTTATTCATTCAAGTGTTTAACATTTATTTAGATAATTTCAATCAAATTCAACTTCTCAAAATTTTCTAGCAATTTTTTCTAGCAAATGATGGATTTTATTTGCTGTCTGTAGGATTTGTTTCCTTGTTTAATACCCAATATCTAGTTAACTCGGTGATATCGATGATATGACGATCAGTTACGGAATGTAAAGGGCAATTCATTTTGCAATCCTCTTTCGGAATTTTTGTTTTGGGATCGTCTTTCGGAATCTTTGATTCAGGTAGGAAATGCTTTTCGATATCAATTGCAATTGCTTTTGTGTCGTCTGTTCGACATCTAAAACCTTTAACAAACTGTATTCTTTTGTAAATTGATCCTGACAGATTTCCCAGTATTTCTTCTATTCTTTTTTGGATTGTGCATACTTGATCTCTTTCCAACACGTATCCTGCCATCGGATGAAATAATTGAAGTTGTATGGAATCTTTAGTGACAGATAAAACGATATTATAATCACCATTCAAAAACAAAGCAGCATTTTTGTAGAGGCAAGATGTACCATCATTTTCGAGTACTGTCCAGCCAACTTCTTGCATACAAGCAACAACAAGACGATATAATCTTCAATAACCAATATCTCTTGAACTCAATGGTAACGATGATATGTCGATAATTGACTGAATACAAGGGGCAAATCATTTTGCAATCTTCATTCGGAATCTATGTTTCCGATTAAAAAAATTATTTTCGATATCAATTGGCCCGTTTGGATCAGTGGTTAGAGCGTATGTTTGTCCCCGTCTGTCTGTCCCGGTCTGTCCGTCAGTCGGTCCCATTTGGTTTTCCGCACCTTGGTAGATGTTGAGCTGAGTTTTGGTATGTGGCTGTATCTTGATTAGTTACAGATTAACTTTGAATATCGTTCCGATTCAATGATTTTGTACAGAATTGCGGCCTTTTCAATTTTCAGGGTTTTCCACACTTTTCTCCTAATCGCTTGCAGAGATTGAGCTGGTTTTTAGTATTACATATTACCTTAATTGTTATAGATCAAGTTTGCATTTCGTTCTGCTTAATTTATTTTTGAAAAAACTATGGTATTTTAATTTCTTTTAATTTTATAATTGGGTTGAATATTGGGTTCGTGATGCATACATTTATTTCGTGATGCACGCAATTTATGTTCTAATTGTCATGAGTTGAAACTTGCTGGATAGCTTTTATAAATTGATTAGTTATAGATCAACCTTGCATTTCGTTTTATTTCATTGATTTCTGAGTGGTATTTTTTTTTTCATCATGATTGGGTTCACATTAGGGTTTTTGATGCACTAAATTAATGTCTTGATGCAATACTGGATTAATGTTCTAAACGAGATTATCATGAATTGAAACTTGCTTGATACCCTTTTAGCGACAAATAAAAGTTTGATTTTTTTGGGGGGGTATGAAATTGTTGTTGTTCAACCATGTAAAAAAAAAGCTGTAACAGTTCTGATCAAAGCATTTGTGTGTGTCAAATGGCATTCAAAGACGTCATCAGGTCACGAATCTTTTTTTGTAAGGAATATCCAATAAATTTCATTCATCTTCAAGTAATTATAACTAAAGTTCCATATTTAAGTATCAATTTTTCATACACAGGATCTGGTAAAATGACAACCCAAAGGGGAACCCAGTAGGGGACTTGTATTGCTTATGCAATACTCTCGGAATCTCTTCTATCCTTCCTTGAATTCTGCATGTGTGTGCTCTTTCCCTAAGTATCCTGCAATTAATCGGATGAAATACATGGCGTTGTATAGAATTTTATTGACGAATAAAACGATATTGTACTGACTTTACATATAAAATCAGCATGTGCTATTGGAGTTTATGAAGACACTTACTTGAACAATCGACGACTGATTTTTACAATTTATTCATCAAGATCGTCAAGATCTATATAGCCGTCCCCCTCCCATTAACATCTATCCTAAGCGCAACATGACGTATACATTTTTCAAATATCATTAAGATTTCGTAATAGTATAATCGGGTTTGTCTGTAGATATAATTATGAAAAACAATTTATTCATAGACCAACTCCATTACTTATAATGTAAAAGTCAGCTGTCGAATGTAAAAGAAAGTCTCTTCATGAAACTTCATTATTTCCAGTTCTTTCCAACCTTATTCTTCCATAAGCGCAAGAACAAGACAAAAAAAAAATAAATAAATAAAAAAATTTTAAAAGGGCGGAAAACAAGTATAGATGATGTACTTTTTGATTTGTTTATGAGACCGAATAGTTCTATATATAAATCCAATGACAATAGTTTTATTCTGATTGATACGAAGAAACAAAAATAAGATTATGTCAATTAAAAATGCCATTTATTTACATTATAAATGACTATATGAAAAACATAAAATGTCATGCATATAAACATATAATGCAGAATTAGAAAAATTGAACAATTGAGAGATATAATAATATTTTGTTTCAATAGATAGATATTAGATAGATATCAAAGGTTGGGTACAAATACAATAAATATTGCATGTAGTTGAGCGTCAAATTGAAAATTTTCACCCCCCAAAAACTAGTGTCAACCTATATATTGACAGAAAGGCTGCGCTCGGGATGTTTTTCTTAGGGGGGAAACATTTGCAATGTAACAACCAACAGCATGCAGTATTTATTTAATGTCAGAGAAACTGCCAAATTTTTTTAATTTATGGTTTTCACTAAATCATATTTTTATCAGACAAATAAACGTTGATCATGCCTGCTATCTTTAAATGATTATGAAATAATATACATTGTTAAAGTGACATGAAAGTCCATTGGGCCCAGTGAAATGTATATACGTACTTTTATATTGTATTTATTAGTCGTGGAAAAGTATACACATTTCTTTATGATGCATTTTTTTACGTATTTACCTACTAGTGTCTTTTGGAATCTTTAAAGATGAGTAGCTTAGGATTTCTTGTCACGGGTTAAAAAACAAAAGGCGTGTGTGAAGGGTAACATGGGATACTAATAGAATCATACTATGAGGGATTACAGTAAATATTTTGTATGTATATTTTTTAATAAAAGACCTTAAGCACATTTATTGAACTTTTCTTATATTATATATCGTATGTGTATCTATCATATAGCTTATATATGATCTATATAATAAAAAAAACAACTACATAAAATCTGGAGAATATTAGGGTTTCATATTCCTGTTTGTATTACGTATTTTTTTATTTATGCAAATGTTTTACACAAGTAAAAGTGAATGGGATTTGGCAGAAGGTAAATCCTATTAAAGCCCTCTCACTTATGCTAGTGTATTACATGTATGTAATGTCTTTCGAATACTCAATTATTACGTATATGTGTATGCCCGAAACTTTCCCAAAACGAGGTAATATTAAACGCCCCATTTTAAACCAAAAAATGATTTGTCTGTTCAACTCCTCTTAATTACATTTATGATAGGTTGTAGCAGCAAAGGTTTATTTTTTTTTTACACAAATTGAAAGTAAAATAAAACCTCTATAACAAAACATTGCGCTACCTAGTGTAATTAGAGTTGTGCTATGTTGAACGCATACAGGACAGAGATAATTGAAGACATCGATAATGAAAAATTCCTCTTAATTTGAGTTATTGAATTAAAATAATTAATATAAATCATTGGGATATTTTTTAGACATATGAAAGAGAAGTATTTGAATAAATATTAGTAATTATTGCCACTCTTTGACTTGCTTTTTAAAATAGTTCAAAATACAAAAAAATGTGTCATTAAATCGATTTTTAAAAAAAAAAACATTGTGAACCAGTCCTTATAAGCGTATCCTCGTGTCTTTAAAAATATTAATCATTAAAGTCCCAGTTATTTAAGACCTTACTGCAGATAGAAATTTTTGATTCATTCAAGTGTTAAACATTTATTTAGATAATTTCAAACAAAATCAACATCTCAAAATTTTTCTAGCAAATTTTTCTAGCAAATGGTGAATTTTATTTGCTGTCTGTAGGATTTGTTTCCTTCTTCAATACCCAATATCTAGTTAACTCGGTGATATCGATGATATGACGATCAGTTACGGAATGTAAAGGGCATATCATTTTGCAATCCTCTTTCGGATTTTTTGTTTTGCGATCGTCTTTCGGAATCTTTGATTCTGGTAAGAAATGCTTCTCGATATCAAGTGCAATTGCTTTTGTGTCGTCTGTTCGACATCTAAAACCTTTAACAAACTGTATTCTTTTGTAAATTGATCCTGACAGATTTTCCAATATTTCTTCTATTCTTTTTTGGATTGTGCATACTTGATCTCTTTCCAACACGTATCCTGCTATCGGATGAAATAATTGAAGTTGTATGGAATCTTTAGTGACAGATAAAACGATATTATATTTACCATTCGAAAACAAAGCAGTGTTTTTGTAGAGGCAAGATGTACCATCATTTTCGAGTACTGTCCAGCCATCTTCTTGCATACAAGCAACAACAAGACGGTAAAACAAGAAAAATGGCAGAAACTCAAATTGATAAACAAGCACAGATGATTTACTCTCCGATTTTGTGATGATATCTAGAAGTTCATTTTCTATTTCTTTACGATTCATGCACGGAACATAGTGAGATATCGAACCAACAGCCAATAAACCGAGTCTTTGCATAAAATTGATGAGTGATTCTTTATGACATTGAAGATATTGTCCATCTTCCTCATACGATCCACCTCTAATTTGGTAGTTCTTGTCCTTTTCCTTTAGCTTGTCAAATAGCTCTTTATCTTTATGTCTCCAGATCTCTACTAGAAGCCGGTCTCGCAAATTTCCAGTTTTATAATATTCTTGCCAGTCCCCTTGGCTGACAGGAATACCTTTGAAATGAAGCTTGTCTGTGATAATATGCTTGAAGGCGTCAATAAACCATTGGACGTCTATAATCACTTCTTTATTGAGACCATTTTCATTGAAATATAAGACTTTTCCGGCATCATGATAATACCGCAGCATATCTTGGATTCCCTTTTCAGCTTTAACTGAATCCTCTTGTTCTTTGGTATTAGTCTCTGGTACTTCTGTTGTTATTTCTGTAATCTTCAAGATCCGCTTTGAGTGTTTTTTCTGGTTGATTTCTAATCCAAAGAAAGACCATTCTTTTGGAATGCTTTCTCTCCATCGTTGATTGGAAGCTATTTCGAAGAAGCAAGTTTCCAGATCATGAAGAGGTAAAGTAAAATCTGCACAATACACGTTATCATTTCTGATGTACTGTGATAAATTAGATGTCTTTGGAAATTGATGATACAAGCTCTCAATCAGTTCCTGTGTATCCTACATTGATATAAAATATTATCAAAATAAATTATGGGTGGTGATATAATTCTGACATTTTTCCTTTTCTGTTAAGACATTAACTGACACTGTTTCTAGTCATGTTCCCTATAAATCTTTCCCAACTTACACAAAAAGATCCTTAAGTTGTTGATTTGAAAGTCTTCATAATATGTAACTTGGAGGGGAATCTAAATTCATGAAAATGATTTTAGCATTGACTTTCTAATAATTATCATCATCATTTGCAAATAATCCAAACATGCATGCAAACGTGCATGTACATAACATCGATATTATCTGTATCATGATGGGTAGTATTTTTTTTAATAAAGACTATTACTTTTTTCTGTATTGTTCGAACTATCTAATAGGCTCCAACTAGATCACATGATCAAGTACAAAAGTGGTATGGACTGGATGTTTCTATTTTAAAAAATTATAAACCTGCTGTTTCTAAAATTGGAAACGTTCTTCTGTGAAGCAACAATAGTGCTGACGTCACAATAGTATTTATAAACTTATGTTTCTAAATACAGAAACGCATATGACATAACAATGCCTTATATGAGAAGGTACTGAAAAGAATTTTAAGACAGTTCTTATTAACTGATAAAAAAATAATAAAAAAAAAATTAGCCTTTTGATTCAGTACAATCCCTAAATATGTAGACCATAGAGAAAGCATATCGACCGAGCACTAGGGATTGACCTCATCAAAAGACTATAATTGTTTTATTATTTTTTATCAAAAGGCTACAATTGTAAAGTACAGATCACTAAAGATTATAGCGAGCGCAGCGAGCTAAATAGACTAACGTATACGAACGGAGGAAATTCGTGTTGAAATCTGCACATTGTTCCAAGAAATTTTTAACTCACCGCGTGATAAAATTCCAAACTCCCAATAATTCTTTGCGGTGCATAGCAACATGGTGGCTAAAACATAGCAACAACGTACTTGAAAAAAAATACAAACAACAATTTAATGCAATCTCCATGCCACAAACTATCGTTTGCGTTCAGAGTCAACAAGGACTTTTTATTTGACGTCATACATTCATCACTGAAACGGCTCGGGTATTTCCGATTTTGTCGGAAACTTCCGAAAGTTCGGAATCTCGATCCCGATGTCTAGGAAGTGATTTCTTTTAATTCTCTTCTTCTTTTTAATGAACTGAGGATAGGCAGTGCAAGTAAAAGCTTTGTAAAGGTTTTTGATAGTAAATAACTGCGCTCGCCCCAACGGTCGCACCGTCGAACATATAGCTATATGTTTAAGATTTAAGAATTAAAAACAAGATGTGTTTGTAAAACACTATGCACCCGGCGGCAAAAAAGTTCTTAAAAGTACTTTTAGCATATAGGTCACAGACAAAGTCAAACTATCATTGACCTTGGTGTTATTTGAAGGCACTTAATTAGCGTAGTATGCTTACCAAATATAAAGTGTCTCTCTCCTATGGTTCAAAAGTTATGACAAAAGTTCGAAAAAGTTATTTTTAGCATAGGGGTCGCAGTTAAGGTCACAAGTTCATTGACCTTGGTGTCAGTTGAAAGTGCTTGATAAGTAGAGTATGCATACTAAATATGAAGTCTACCCCTCACGGTTGAAAAGTCATGGCGAAGGTTAAAGTTGACAACAGACAGACAAGGGATAATCAGACAGATAAACGGATAAACAGACAGAAAAACGGATAAACAGACATACAGGACAAATAAATTTGGGCGCATAAAAACTGGTATTAGCGTGTATATGAAAAGTTCATTAGATAAAAATAGCTCACCCTAAACTGTCTGCTTCCTTCTTTCCAGTGTGTTGCAACAATTAGAACTACAGGTTTTGGATCTTTTTCGTTGTCAGAACCACAGTAGGTATGTATAGACTTTATCCAGAACACAAAGTATTCTGCAATAAAGAGATGAAAATGTTCCTTTTTAAAATCATATAAGGAGAAAAATATTTTTCAAAAATCAATTTTGCGGCTTTATCAGAAGTTTTCAGGTAGGAAAAACTTTTTTAACCCATTTCTTAAAAAGTACTGGGGAGAAAAAAGAATAATATTACTATATTGACAACAATGGATGATCCCGGAAAGAAAAACTGTAGGTTTTGGCAGGTTAGCGTCATATTTTTTCTTGGAATGAGTTAACGCTATCTAAGTGCAATGAACAAGCATAAAATGCCGTGTTACTTTTGTTCAATAAATAGTAGAGGACTGATAATTTGACACATATATATAAAGAGTCTCCATTTATGTACTACAAAGGTCAAGGTCATACCAAGAGGTTAAAGGTCAAATATTGTGACGTCATCCACTGAATCTTTTAGTTTTGTTGCCATTGATTTTTTTAATCGCCAAATTATCTGAAACCACTGGTTCAATGTTCTTTATTTTTACACATTTAGTTCTAGGACTCATTTGAATCATTCTGATGATTTTTTGTTAAAATTAAATTTTACATTTAAAATAACTTTACCTGCCGGATATCAACATTTGAATTTTCAATTCCAACGCTACGTATGTTCTTTTTTTACTTTTACTGTTTGCCGGTGGAGATTGATTGTATATTGTTTAACGTCCCTCACCAGGAAATATCACTGATATGGAGACGTCACCAATGCCGGTGAAGGGCTTCAAATTTAGGCCTATGCTCTGCACTTACGGCCTTTGAGCAGGGAGAGATCTTTATCGTGCCACAACTGCTGTGACACGGGGCCTCGGTTTATACACTCTCATCCGAAGGACCGCCCTATTTAATCGCCTTTTACGACAAGCAAGGGGGTACTGAGGACTTATTCTAACCCGGATCCCAACGGGGCTAGCCGGTGGAGACGTACGTTAAACCGCTGCAAAGCCGATTGTTGTACACTAAATGCAGTTGTAACACGTTAGCGGTGTTTTTCTTTTGAGTTTACTATTCTGTATTAGAAGTACAGAACGGGACAGTGGTGGGCGGAGCTACTTTCAAAGGTAGAACACAAGAATATGAAAACAAAGAATGAATGCATTTAAGGATATGCGAAAAATGCGTCAAAATAAATCTTCAAAACAGATATTTTTCTTTTAAATACTGGAATGATCAATACCGGAATCTAATTTACAACTTTACTTAATTACAATAAGTGTATATTTACGATGTACGAGTCTGTTTTTAAGGCGATGGTCATCACAATTTCTTCAATCTTCTTCGATAATAAGAAGGCCCATTTATTTACTTGCTTTATACACAGTCAGCGCATTATAGTCTATTACAGTACAAATGTAGGTGTATATTTGCATTAGAAATGTTGTATTAAAAGGAGATTAATAGACAGATATGAGCTCATGGTTAAAGAAGAAAAAAAAACTGCTTCTCCTTTTATGTACACTCGCGCTCTTTGTTGTAAACAAGGGCTGTTACACGCGTTGAACAGGTCGACATGTTGTATAGATGGGCTCATACGTTTTAAAACTTTGTAAAAACAATGTACATTTACGATACAGAATAAATAGAAAGATAGAAAATAGTGATCTCCTATTTTTTCATGCCATTGTTATTCATCCAGCCTTTAGATCCATTCTGACGATGTTAGCTCCTCCTCCCATACATACATTATGTTTTATCAAGGGCAGGTAAGTGTAAATACTATATATAAAAAAACTTAAGGACAAAAACATGAAACCAATTATTGCATTATAGTTTAAACTCAAATTTGATATTATAAATTAAATAGACACACTTCTGTATTAAATATATAAAAATGTGAAATTAGTTTAAGATCTATAATCAATAAAAGCGACTGAAAAAGACCCAAAACACAACGTAAAGTGCAGTCATCATTAATGAACTGATCTGTCATATAAGTGCATGGCCAATCGTAAATACAACTCTCCAGGTTTTTGTCCGGTGCACATAGACATTAGAACAAAAGAATAAAAAAAAAAATAAAACATCTTCAATGAGGACAGAATTTTCTTATACCTCCATAGGTCCATCCAGAGAACACACTACCATCTTGATCACACACTGCCTTATCCACCTTTTGGTCCAGACGTTTAGAAGCGTCCACCACCACAACATAGAAAGCTCTCCTGGTCAGGTAAATCTGGTGACAGGCGTAGTACGCACACTGCCCTCCAAAGTCAAAGAAAGTCAGAGTCTTAGAGTCCACATTTGAAGTTTTTACTTTCTCATGATTCTCCTGGCTTTTTCTTGCTAAAAAGAGTCATCAGATATCTAACATTCTATTTTTTTTTTCAAAATATAATACATGATAGAAGCAATAAAATGGTATTTTTTGACATGTTTTTTTTTAATTCATAGCATTAAAGACTAATTTATGTTTTTTTTTAATTTACCAAAAGTGCTAAAATTACAATGCTGAAAGTAATTTATGTGTATGATTACGCACAAAGCATCATTTCAGCTGTCGACAAAACTGTCCACTTAGATTAAAAATGTAATTCTAGTTGTTTAAAAATCAGTTTTACATTGATTTGCAATGTCTTTAAAACAAAACATATTGCACAAATAAAAAGAGAAGTTTAAGTTGTTTTTTTAAGACAATCATGGGTGTTTAGTTTTATTACAAAAAATTGAGGGAGAAAGTAAGTAAAAGGAATGTCATATTTTTTGTGTGCAAGAAATATTTTTCTCACTTTCCTCTCACTTTAGCATATCTTATATTTATTACCTTTCAATGATCTTGTTTTATCACATATATCAAATATTTCCTCATGCACCTCCAATCCTTCAGTAGATTTTACTTCATAAATCTCTTCTTCACTACACCCGAGAAGACGTTGAAGTAGCGTGGTTTTCCCCGCCCCAGCACATCCTACAATCATCCCCCGGGCGTGGTGGACTGTCTGTGTTCCTCTCTTAGCGTACTCCACATACCGCTCTCTGGCCTCCTGGTCCCACCTTAGTATTTCTCCAGGGACTCCCACTATATCATGTTAAAGAAAAACAATTCACAACAAGAAAGCTACGCATTTCTTTTTACTTTAGTTTCATGGGAAAAAACTGAATTTTGACAGACCTGTACCTTCTAAATGGAGGTGGTCCTTCGGATGAGACCGTATAAACCGAGGCCCCGTGTCGCAGTAAGTGCTGGCACGAAAAAGACCCCCCTGTTAAAGGCCCCAAGTGTCAAGTATAGGAGAAAATTTGCAGCTCTCCACCGGCAAATGGTGGCGTCTCCATATGAGTGAAAATTCTCGAGAGGGGCATTAAATAATATACAATCAATCAATTATTAAATGTAAATGGAGGTAATATTATTAGAACCTCGAAAAAATAATATACCAGGGATGGGGTAATCGTAATCAGTAATCGTAATCAGCTGTAATCGATTACAGTTTGCCAAGTAATCATGAGTAATCAGTAATCACCAATTTTTCTGATTACAAGTAATCGTAATTTAATCAATTACTCTGAAAAAAGTCCTGTAATCATGATTACTTTTTGATTACTTTATGATTACAATTATTAAAACAAATTTCATTTATTAATGATTTTTGATGATATTCAGTGAGCAAAAGTTGTTATAAAATTATAAGCTATTTTAATTAGGTGTCTTCTTCTAATGCATCTAGAAATGCTTATAATCAGGTCCATTGTCTAGTCAATTAGTAAATTCTATCAGTTCCTAGCTTTATTCAGTAGTAATTTCAAAATACTTATTCTATATTTTGACTTGATATATATATAATTAAAATGGAAGAAAATTACTTTAGGATCATTTTAAAAGTTTATTTTTTTATTTTTGGTTTCAATCTATTTACAAATATGTGAAATGCAGCATTTTGTTTTCCCTATAAAATATTTTTGAATAAACATGTTTTTTTTTCAAATATTCCTTTATTGTATTCTAAAAATCACTTCGTTTGATTTTCTGTGTACATAAAAAGATATGTGAATTAATTACCGGTAGTAATAAAACACTGGTATACTAAAGTTTGGTCAGCTTGGGTTATAACAATTATTGAACTATCCATGCTTGTCCAGTCAAAGTGTTAATTCTTGTAAAAACATCTAGTAATTGGCAGCTTAATTGAAAAGCTCATCACTCATCAAGAAGGTCAATTACCGGGGTACTTGTGTAACAGTTCTCTATCGAATCCCTTTATGCATAACTATAATTATGTCAAGTTTGATAAATAAATTCTTTTTATTTCTATCTCAAAAATAACACAGATATTGCTTGTACTTAAGATAGAAAACATGAACTTGAAAAATTTTATGCATCTATATTAAGAAATGTACCACCAAGAATTTCTGGATTCTACTTTATATATACCTAAAATATTAATAATACTTAAAAAGTAAATACTGAATTAAAACATCCTGTTGTTTTTGAACATTAAACAAACAAAAACTAAATGTAATCTAAAGTAATCATAAGTAATCACGATTACATGAATGAAAAGTAATCAGATGTAATTGATTACTTCAAAAAATGTCTGTAATCAGCTTGTAATCGATTACATTTAAAATCCAAAGTAATTGTAATTTAATCGATTACTTTTGAAAGTAATCGACCCCATCCCTGTAATATACAGGTATTGACTTCCTTTAACATTCTTGATAACTTCATTTTTATTGTGTTCTGATCGATTCATTTACATCTACATGAATTCAACTAAATTGTAACATCATTTTACTAAAACTTATACATAGATACGCATTGCTTTCAGTAGTGTTTTATATATACAATACATGGTTACTGTCTTGCAATATATGCGATATTTGGGTGAGGGTAAGAAAACGTGATAAAGGGCGAGGCTTGTCGACCCCTCTTATGTTTTCGACCCGAGGCCAAATATCGCTTATTCTTCAAGACAGTTATCATGCATTTTGTTTATCCTGCAACAAAATTTAATATTTGAACGTCCAAAACAAGCTATTTCCGACAGTCTTAGGCACATCTCTGCAGTTGAAACTATGATGCCATGGCGTAAACATAGCAATATTCATGAACACGTCTGTGTTTTTTAAAATCAAGTTTTCAATTTCATTTTATAAGGCCTACTGTTAAACGCCTGTAGTTATCCGTAAACTCTTTAATTTGACGTTTTACATAATTTTATACACCATGTACTGGTTTGCTAAATGAAAAAAAATTAACAATGACACATAAAGTGAGACAAAATAAAAAAATAACTATAACAAATAAATTGAGACAAAAAAATTGTTTAACATTTAAAAAAAAATTATGTCAGTCGAGAAAAGCTAGACGACCGTCGTGTTATAAAATAATCCAATTTTACCTGATGGATATTAATTTATCTAATAATCTATATATTTTTATACTAAACATAATAAGTGAAAACGCCATAATGTTGTTTATCTGATTTAAAGTACAATTCACATTGACCTATTTATACATATGAACAGCTCACCTCTTGAGAAAATCATTTTATGCATTTAAGAAAGAAATAATAAAAAAGAAAAACATGACATAGTTTCATGTATTTTAAAACTTTTGAGTAGGAAAAATTAAACAAATTCTTATTATCTTAGAGTGTGCTGCAATTTTAAACATGATTATCGTTTTATGAAATGATTCAACACGTATGTTAAATCACTTAGGAAAATAAAAAAAAAGGGAAGTTTAGCCGTGCATGAGCATTAAACAGACTTGGTGCATGTTCTTCAAACCAGTCCTTGCTTTACGAAAAACATCTTTAACCTTTAAAAATAATGAATTAATAATATCACATAGGAATAAGTTTTAAAATAAATACACATGTATAAGTAACTTAAAACTTCAACCGCGTTTCTCTCAAAGGAATCAAAAAAAAAAAAATGGAGGAAATTGAAGTAATTTCAATTTTAATTCATAAGGTCTAGATTTATCGTAATACCGGTATAATATAAGCGTCGGGAGCAATTAACCTGATATTGAAAAGGAAAAAAGGCAGTGGAAGTTGACACTTTAAATATATCAATGATTTTCTTGATCAAACTTTAATAATATTGTAATCATGTGCATGTATCCCTTTAGAAATTTAGACAAAAAATATTCACAATGACAGATGTAGACGTGTGGGGCCTGGAAGAGATTTTGTCGTCATTCATAAATTGTGTTTAACGCCCATTGCACAAAGATGTTTTTTTATGTGAAAAAATAGGAAAAGGGATAAGTTGTATGTTTCACTTATAATAAAAGGGGAGGATTAGTTGTCAACTCGACCCTTTTAAAAATATTCTGTAGTTGTTCGTTGCCAATACCGCAGGAGGACACATGTATAATTCCTTATACATGTATTTACATTTCCAATAAATTTCCATTGAGATTCTTTACAATTTAAAATGCAGATCATTTTCTCGATACGCAAGAGCATGCTCTACGTATGAACAATTTCTTAAACGAGGTAAATTATTGACAAGCAAGTTGATGAAACAAGAATATCAACAGTCTCGTTAAAAGTCATCATTTCGTAAATATATGGTCGATACAATGACCTTGTCAGCAAATACAATTTATCAATGAATGAAATGCTGACTGACGTTTTTCATACCAATTGTTAGTCCATTATTTATACACTGAATTGACCACGAATTTTTTCCGTTAGTTCCTGATTATGACAACGAGCACACGGCGGGTGTGACCGGTCGGCAGGGGATGCTCACTCCTCCATGGCACCTGATCTCACCTCTGATGTTTCGGAGGTCCGCGTTTGCTCTGCTCTTATTTTGTATATTTGTTTAATGGACGTTGAGATTGAATACTGTTCGTTATTTCCATATCCTTCTTCTCAGGAATTACATAACGTATGTACCATGAATAAGCATGAATATCTCCATTGTTATGTCATATTACCGCTCTTGACGTTAAAAAAAAATAGTGCACACAGATTTGCTATAAAAATGGCCATTGAATGGCGTAAATTTAAGGCAAGTCTTCAAAAAAAAAATAATGCAAATGAAGGATATGGAGATAACGAACAGTATTCAATCTCAAAGTCCATTAAACAATATACAAAATAAGAGCAGAGCAAACACGGACCTCCGAAACATCAGAGGTGGGATCAGGTGCCATGGAGGTGTGAGCATTCCCTGCCGACTATAGTCACACCTGCCATGTGTTCGTTGTCATGATCAAGAAATAACTGAAAAAAATCCGTCGTCAATTTAAGAAATATTACGCTCTTCGTGAAATATGCCGGCCTGAAGCATCGTTATTCATAACCTCATGAATCTTCAAAAATTAAATTCATTTCTTAAATATATCACCTATAACGTATTAATGAACTTAGTGGAAAAAAATCATTTCAAAAATTGAAACATGAATTGTAAAGGTTTAAGTCGTACATTTGTTTGTATTTGTAAGCTAATATCTATTTTCCAAAACGGCTTTACAAATCTCTCTGAGTCTCTCTCACTGTGTAAAAGATATGACATTCTTACTTATATACGTTTTGCCTTTTAATCTTGCTAAAATCTATTTCAAAGAAAATCCAGCGTGATATTTATCAAACCTCCGAAATAAGGATGAAATATAAGCATCTGGGCCTTAAACAATAACAATAAATGCCTCTGTGTTAAAAATAGAAATATGTAATACAATAACTACTAATAAAATAAAAAGGGGCGGGTGACAATGAGAAGGGTTAGAGAGGTCCAAGGGAGTTTTGGTATAAAATTACATTACAAAAGCTCAAAATCTTCTTGAAATATCGTCCGGAAACGATAGTGTTACACACACAGACAGAATATATAAATTTACGACCTTTGAACTTTCATCTTCTTTTGCCCTCAAAATCTATAGGGGTCTTCCTTAGGACAAAGGGTGTTGTTTAAATGTAAAATTTCATTACAAAACCTCAATGGGTTCTCGAGATATTGCGCGGAAACGAAAGTGTTATTACAGACATAATATGCAAATTTATGACCTTGACCTTTGACCTTTTGACTTCAAAATCAATAAGCTTCTTTTTTAGTCCATAGGGATTTGCTTTGTAAAATTTCATTGCAAAAGCTCCAAGGGTTTTCGGAATATCGTGTGGAAACGAAAGCGTTACATGCAGACAGAAAGACGGAAGGAAGAAAAGACCAAAAATAATATCCCCCGATTTTCAAACGGGGGACAAATAAAATTTAGTCTATGGTTTATTATTTACAGCATTATGTTACAAACAAGAAAACGATTATAAGAGATTTTTTGAAACTTATATTACAATTATGGATTTTCAAGGAACAAAACGTGATGGATAATACAAATAATTTACAATCACAAAATAATACAGAAACTTTCTGTATTCCAGTGGCTGAGTGACACCCATTTTTTTTTTTAAAAGCTAACATTGTGATCTGTAGCTCTCTACTTGAGAAAATTCGGACAGATAATGCAGAGAGCTACAGATCCAAGCGTTGTAAAAACCTTCGATTTTCGCCGACGATTTTTCGTCGCTATGTTAGGTATTTATTTCGTGTAGTTTAAGCTTTCTCTGACTTTTAGAATGGTATCCTATAATTATTCAGATATTTAACACTGATATTTCATACTTTATTTGCCTTTTAACGGTTCAAAACAGTCCTGTATAGAGTTTTTTAATGTCGGTTTAAAACAGTTCCCTTTCGACGTCCGTGACCACAAACAGTCATTTGTTAGCATTTAGAGGTAAGTAAATTAACAGGAATTGAGGTTTAATGTATGATTAATTATTAAGTACAATTTATAATTAATTTCAAAGCTATGGAAAGTATAAAATACAAGATAAAATAACTGTAGTGAGCGACGAAAAATCGTCGGCGTAAATCGAAGGTTTTTACAACGCTTGGATCTGTAGCTCTCTGCTTTATCTGTCCGAATTTTCTCAATCAGAGAGCTACATGTACAGTTCTGCAGCTAATTTAAGGTTTAATACAGAAATAATACTCACAACGTTTACTGATGCTGTCATGAATACCCCCGTCAGACACGGTACAGTGTGTGATGATGTCCAGCTGTAGTTTGTCTATGAAGAAGTCGTACATCTTCTTTGGATAGTCAGATACATACAGACATCTCTCTCCCTCACTCCTCTCATAATACCAGGACCTGCAGTATTCTGATATCACGTCACGTGACGCCGTGGTCAGGAAAAACTCCAGATCACTGTCCTGCACCAGACACTCCGTAACAAAGGCGTACATGACGTCATGTCGTGTGTCGTCTGATATAAACGTTACCTCACCATACTGGGTTTCCTTAACTTCATCTTGAAGGGATGTCACATCAACATCATCAGACGGAGAAATCCTTTGAAAATACCGTTCTCGTACCTTTATTAATATTGACTTGAAAGCCACCCCATTTACAGCACTCGTGTACTTGTCACACAAGAGTAAACTGTAAAGAATACTTCTGTCCAATTCTGAATATTTATGATGTTCACCTAAAATGAACGAAATCAAAGAGTTAAAAAGGATTACATGTATAACCGATTACAGGTCTGCGTATTCATAGATTTATCAAAGTATACTTTTCTTAAACAGTTCTATTAGATACGTTTTTGATTTTTAGACGAAAAGCACAATTTTAATAAAACAGAGTCTTTCTGGGATTGCCTTCATCAAAATATTATTTTATACGTACAGAAATGATAACTGATATTTTTTGTTTATGTAAAAAGAGTTTAAATAGATTCTCCCCAGCCTGGGAGTATGTAAGATATGAAAGGAAATTGTCACGACCCTCTGGATAATGATGACGTGGTAATAGTGCATTGTCAAAAAAGAAACGTTTTTCAACTATTAAAAATTGTTTTTAATATGTTCTACAGCTGCAAATGACACAAATATATATTTTGTACATTCTGAACCGCGGCTTGCAGCATAGCCTATTCTACCATTGGCATTATTACGTGACCAAGATGGAGGGTATAAGCAGGTGGTTCATTTCGACAGTCCTACATCTTCATTTTAATGACAATTAATTCTTATCATTCATTAATGATCATGGGTATTTTTTTGGTACATCGACGAATCTATTAAGGAGCAAATACAGTTAATGTTTATTTTAATTCTTTAAAATTATTTGTTTTGCCTTGAAGACTGAAATAAATGATTCAACTATTTTACCTTTTAATATCTTAACGTACTTTTCTTGCATGGACGCTTTTAAAAATTGTAAAAGATTTTTTTAATGCTTAATTTTGTTTGCATCTGATGTGATGCTTTGCATCAATTTAACTTGTATGGGTCTGAATTGAACCAAAGTACTGCAAACATTAATTTTCATGATTCATCAATGGTATCATGTATTCTCGGACAATCCGTACTAGTATGCCTTTTTGACTTTACCGGTCAATAAATCTTCAAATAATTTAATATGTGGATAGGGACCATAAATCTGGGCATTCTTAAATTTGCATTGAAAAAGTAGAATTAATTATAACTTTTAATACAACTTGGTTAGTAACACAAACAGTGCAGTGCTACTATACTAGTCAAAGAATGACAACTCACTCGTGGATGACAACAACTCGTACATGTAGATTTTGTCTTTCATTTGTTGTATTTTTACCTTTGTTAAAAATGCTCTTTGTATGATCCGATAAATCCTTTCTTTATTTATTTCCTTGTGAATTTTCCATTTTAAAAGGATCAGACCTTTCTCATTATGAGATAACTGAGTCTGGTCAATAAAGATAAAGACATATCTTTCATCAATAAGTTCATCGATGCAAATTGGTTTCAGACTTTTAATTTGGATGATAAACCTCTTACTATTAAAAAATCTGTTACGTACTTCACATATCAGACTATTTAACCCCACATTGCAAGGATTAAGGTTTTAATTAAATGAGAAGGATGAGAAATTTCTTTTTCTTTTACAAATGGCGGGTAAGGTGCACGCCTCTCTAACATACTATCCGTTTATCCTTGAAAATCAAATGTCAATGTTTTTTTTTTTCCTTTCGAGTCTTGATTTCTGCCATCAAATCTAATAAATGTAAGTTATTATACATCTAACAGGTGCACAGGATATTTCAAATGAAGAATAATCAAACTTCTCTTCGTTGATTTTCACTTTAAAGGTATCACAACTCACGGAATATAGAAGTAATCTTAGTGACGTAGCATCCTTTTTGATGGGAGGTATTGGGGGGGGGGGCATTGCATGATAGTGAGGGAAATATGAAGACTTATTCAGCCAAGAAAAATCATATATTGATATGGAATATGATATTTCTTGGCTGAATAAGTCTTCATGTTTCCCGAACATTCATGCAATGAATTGTTTATTATAAGAAGTATAAACCGTCTGGATGGGGGGTCAACTGAGTGCAGTTTGGGGGCTGGGGGATAGGGGGTTCAACTGAGTGCACTTTTGGAGCTGTTTGGGAGATAGCCAGGTCAAGCGAGTGCAGCCCCTGGGGGGATAGCTGGGTAAATATTTAGGACATGGCCCCTGGGGGATAGCCGGGTCAAGAGAGTGCAGCCCCTGGGGGGATAAGTGGGTCAATGCAGTACATAGAGCCCCCTAAATACTGGGGGTGTGTTTACATTGGTACACTGCTACTACCATTCATAACCTTGCTACTACGCTTTTTGGCAACGATTCAAGATTATGACGTCACGCATTCATTCACAGTCTAGGCGGTCTAGCCAGCCAGCCTGTTCAAACTGGATTTCCTCAAAAACAATAACAAATAACACACAAGACAGATGAGAACAAGGCAATTTCATTCAAGTGAAAAAATACATCCAATTACATTTTCTTTTGCTTTTTTCCCTTTTCTGTCATCAGGGGTAGTTTCCACTTGGGTTCCTGAGGCTTTTTCTCCAGTTTTTGTATTTCTTTGACGAATTGTTGATCCTCCTCAACCTCTGTACACTGATTAGCCCAATGACCAGATTTACCGCACTTGTAGCACGAATCCTGTTTTTTTCGGGGACAATCTGGGGCCCAATGCAATAACTCTTTGCAGATGTAGCATGGATCCGTCTGTCTAGTTTTCTTAGTCTCTCCAGACCCCCCTTGTTTTTTCTGGTAAGTGCTTCCTCCTTTCATTTTAGTGATGTAAATTTTCAGATGATTCAGCTGGTTTTGCACATCACTCACCTTGTTGTTCATATCATTCATCTTGTTGTCAAGACCAGACAGCATGTTAACAATTCCATCCAGAGATGTATTCAAGATCCCCATATCGTCTTTATTCGCATATTCTGGAAGATTATACATGCCCAAATCTAATCCCACTGCATCCGGTGACTCTGGCATGGGGGCTCCTACATACCCTTGAGGTGTCACATAGCTGGGGTTGTCTGGAGTATTCATCATTGCTTCTGCCATAATATTTTTTCACGTCTGTCAAGTTCGAAATGTCAAGCAAGACTGATCCTCAAATCCCAGCTCCCCTTTATATACCTGCTGTGTGCCGTGTGCAAAAATACCTGGGCTTTTATACCTGTTGCATCATCTTTTTATATCTGTTGCATCATCTTTTTGATACCTGTTGCATCATCTTTTTTTATACCTGTTGCATTACCTGTAAGGGGGTCTTGTGCAAAAAAAAAAAATACCTTTCACCTACGTTTTATACGGAGGGGTATAAATGAGAAGAAAAGTCTGATCCTTTCTTCACAATCGACTATCATGTCAACCCTGATACACACTCACTCTCTGATTTTAGATGGGTATGATTGTTTAGTACGATGGGCACAAAACCACCAAGAATCTCTACCCCCGGAGACAGAACAAGTATTTCAGGAAGCGAGCACTATCATGGAAACCCTTCAGGATTTGTGGTTACAATGCCTAACCTTATCACATCATGCGACGACCATGGGGAGACTAGCTACCATACATTTTCTATGTCGACATATGAAAACAATTCTGCCCCAGAAATGGTACGGACTGAACCTGACCCGTTATTTCGGAAAGCCTTACAGTTTCCTGACCCATTCCCAACCGGCCAAAGTGATTTTACTATGGCAGAACATAGATGCGATGGAGAAAGTATGTATTCAATACGGAATGAAATACCCAGAAATTTCACACAGGCTAGGAAATCCGTGACTTTTAATACCAGCCTCAATCAAATCTACGAATTACCCCCCGAGGACCGGAGAAGTCCCTGGATGACCCTAGTAGCGGATCGAATACGATTTCGGAGGAGAATTCTACAGTTAGAAGCTTTGTTAGTTTTTAAGAAATAAAATAAAAAAATCATGTAATACTATATCAGTGTTATGTTATTGTATGACGTCATAGATACACTCGGGTTCGGGATCGGGTTCCCTGAATTCCCCTTTGTCACTGTTAATGTAGTCGATAAATTTAGCATCGAATGTTGATGATTTGATATGGTCTATAATTGGATAAAACATTGTGTATGATTGAAATTAATGATTGAAAGTTGTTTAATATATATAGTATTCGATGTTTTAACTGTTATCTTATTTTATATTGTACGTTTTCTTGTTTTACACGTTAGGTGGCGCTATTTTCAAAAGCATTTTTTTGTGTTAGCCTATCACATGTCAAGATTTTTAATCACATGATTGATTATCGATGTTGCCACCATATTGAACTGTCGTTTGCTTTTTGCAAAAGCGATTTTTTTGTGATAGCCTATCACAGGTCAGGATTTTTAATCACATGATGGATTATCGATGTTTGCCGCGATATTGGACTATCGTCTGCAATTGTCAATAAATACAGACCCTCCGTGTATTCAGTATCATTCCTTCGTAGCTGATATCACAGTACGGAAAGAAAAAAGAAGATGAGTGGAACCTTTTACTATGAGGAATTATACCTCATCCCTGGTGTGGTTGTCGAGTTTCAAATGGTGGTCAGAAGGCAAGATAATGGGCAGGAGCTCATGAGATGCAACATGTCCAGGGTTCAAGTTAACAACGGTGGAGGGAGGAGAGCCCACCCCTATCGGAGGGAAGCACCCCGCTCACCACCACCGCCGCCACCCCGATCCCCCAGAGACAAGCCAGGAACGAGGGAAGAGTACCGTCCTGGGGGTTTGCCGTTTCCACCCGAGACATCTTCTGCACCCTCTGCATGGCGGACGCGGAAGCAAGTAATTTTTTATGTAGTCGCTGCCTGCAGCGCCCAGTCTGTATTCTGTGTGCTGCTCGCATAATAGAGCGGGGACTCCCTTGTCCTCTTTACCGGAATTCGCAGCCCGTGATCAACCCGGTGATTCATCCAGTGAGCAGAAGATCAGACGGAGACGGGGGGATAGTGATTCCGATGAGGATCCCGTCTGCTGGCACAGTAAGAACCTACCGGGGGGAGCCAACCAGAAAACAAAATCATAAAAAACCACAAAAAAATTACTAAACAACAAAAATAACAAAAAAGCCCTTTTAAGGGCTGCCCAATTGTTTCGAAAAGATGCTTACTTAAACAGTCGATTAAATAAGAAACGTT